TTTTCTCTAGGAACATATCAAAAATAAAATAGGGGAGCTAAACGCGAGCTATTGATCTACAACATAGATATGCTAATACTACCAGGACTAAGTTCATGATAAATTTAAGTTCAATTAATCATATTACTTAAGAACTCCCACTTAGATAGACATCCCTCTAATCCTCTAAGTGATCACGTGATCCATATCAACTAAACCATGTCCGATCATCACGTGAGATGGAGTAGTATCAACGGTGAACATCACTATGTTGATCATATCTACTATATGATTCACGCTCGACCTTTCGGTCTCCGTGTTCCGAGACCATATCTGTTATATGCTAGGCTCGTCAAGTTTAACCTGAGTATTCCGCGTGTGCAACTGTTTTGCACCCGTTGTATTTGAACATAGAGCCTATCACACCCGATCATCACGTGGTGTCTCAGCACGAAGAACTTTCGCAACGGTGCATACTCAGGAAGAACACTTATACTTTGATAATTTAGTGAGGGATCATCTTATAATGTTACCGTCAATCAAAGCAAGATAAGATGCATAAAAGATAAACATCACATGCAATCAATATAAGTGATATGATATGGCCATCATCATCTTGTGCTTGTGATCTCCATCTCCTGCTAGTTGTCGATAACTCGGTTACAAAACATGATCATCTCATACAATAAAATTTAGCATCATGTCTTGACCATATCACATCACAACATGCCCTGCAAAAACAAGTTAGATGTCCTCTACTTTGTTGTTGCAAATTTTACGTGGCTGCTACGGGCTTCGCAAGAACCGTTCTTACCTACGCATCAAAACCACAACGATAGTTTGTCAAGTTGGTGTTGTTTTAACCTTCGCAAGGACCGGGCGTAGCCACACTCGGTTCAACTAAAATTGGAGAAACTGACACCCGCCAGCCACCTGTGTGCAAAGCACGTCGGTAGAACCAGTCTCGCGTAAGCGTACGTGTAATGTCGGTCCGGGCCACTTCATCCAACAATACCGCCGAACCAAAGTATGACATGCTGGTAAGCAGTATGACTTATATCACCCACAACTCACTTGTGTTCTACTCGTGCATATGACATCTACGCATAAAACCTGGCTCGGATGCCAATGTTGGGGAACATAGTAATTTTAAAAAAATCCTATGCACACGCAGGATCATGGTGATGCATAGCAACGAGAGGGGAGAGTGTTGTCTACATACCCTTGTAGACCGTTCGCGGAAGTGTTATATCAACGCGGTTGATGTAGTCGTACGTCTTCACGATCCGACCAATCTAAGTACCGAAAGCACGACACCTCCGAGTTCTGCACACGTTCGGCTCGGTGACGTCCTCGACTTCTCGATCCAGCTAGAGGGGCGAAGTAGTAGATGAGTTCCGGCAGCACGACGGCGTGGTGACGGTGTTGGTGAAGCACAATCTCCGCAGGGCTTCGCCTAAGCACTACGAAAACTATGACGGAGGACAAACTAGAGGGGACGGGGTTGCCGGCACACGACTTGGTGTTTCTTGATGTGTCTTGGGTGCTAGCCCTACCCCTCTATTTATATGTTAAGCCTTGGTGTCGAAACTTGGAGTAAAAGCCTCCACAAAGTCGGTTTCACCCGAAAGGCAAGAGTCCTTCTCGGACTCTAGGGCCAGATGCCAGGGTTCCCGGCGTCTGGACCCAGACGCCAGGGACCCTGGCGTCTGGCCCCTGGACTCCGCAAAACTTCCTTTTTCGCTTTCCAAAAACCTTGTGGGCTTTCCCCTTTGGCCCAAATAAAGTGTCCTCGTACCCAAACATTTCGGGAAACATCCGGAACCCCTTCCGGTGAATTTCGGAACCCTTCCGGTGACCAAACACTATTATCCCATATATCAAACTTTATCTCCGGACCATTCCGGAGTTCCTCGTCATGTCCATGATCTCATCCCGGACTCCGAACAACATTCGGTCGCCAACATACATAACTCATATAGTACTATATCGTCCACGAACGTTAAGCGTGCGGACCCTATGGGTTTGAGAACTATGTAGACATGACCGAGACACCTCTCTGGTCAATAACCAATAGCGGGACCTGGATGCCCATATTGGCTCCTACATATTCTACGAAGATCTTTATCGGTCAGACTGCATAACAACATACGTTGTTCCCTTTGTCATCGGTATGTTACTTGTCCGAGATTCGATCGTCGGTATCTCAATACCTAGTTCAATCTCGTTACCGGCAAGTCTCTTTACTCGTTCCGTAATACATCATCCCGCAACTAACTCATTAGTTGCAATGCTTGCGAGGCTTATAGTGATGTGTATTACCGAGTGGGCCCAGAGATACCTCTCCGACAATCGGAGTGACAAATCCTAATCTCGAAATACGCCAACCCAACAAGTACCTTCGGAGACACCTGTAGAGCACCTTTATAATCACCCAGTTACGTTGTGACGTTTGGTAGCACACAAAGTGTTCCTCCGGTAAACGGGAGTTGCATAATCTCATAGTCATAGGAACATGTATAAGTCATGAAGAAAGCAATATCAACAAACTAAACGATCAAGTGCTAAGCTAACGGAATGAGTCAAGTCAATCACATCATTCTCCTAATGATGTGATCCCGTTAATCAAATAACAACTCTTTGTCTATGGCTAGAAAACATAACCATCTTTGATCAACGAGCTAGTCAAGTAGAGGCATACTAGTGACACTCTGTTTGTCTATGTATTCACACATGTATCATGTTTTCGGTTAATACAATTCTAACATGAATAATAAACATCTATCATGATATAAGGAAATAAATAATAACTTTATTATTGCCTCTAGGGCATATTTCCTTCAGGTTACCCCTGACGAAACACTTTGATGGCACACCATTTTGTGTCATGGAAGTCCACACTTACATGAGGAAAAAAATATTGTTGTTATGAAACACATTTGCGACAACACACATATGATTATCTTGATTATGTCATATAATCATCATGAATGTACTTAAATGATAGAAAACATAATATATTACGACAAACACGTATCATCATAAATGTGATTTTTAAATGTTGGTTAGTAGACATCTTTCAAAAAAGAAATGCTAGACAGACAAGAGGATTTGTTACAAGAACAACGGACAACACAACATAACGTGAAGCTTAGGATTGGACGTGGGGACGAGGTGTGCCCCACCTCACTAAAATTCCAGGGGAAGGGGGGAGATTAGTTGGTTGGAAAGATATGTAAAGTTCTGTAAAGCATCCGTTCATGTATGTTTGTTGCTTCCAAAATGGCCTCCCATGTACTAGGACTCCATCCTCATTTTCAGTAGAGTAGTTTTTTCAGTAGAGTAGTTGTGTTCGATGGTTGCAGTTGATTTGACTATTGAGTTGATGAAAAAAGATAGTATAAAGGGGAAGCGGATTAGGAGCACTTGGATGCTGCACCCCTCTATATTTAAAAATAATTTAATAATTCAAAAAAGCCAAAAACAAATCTTGGATATATTTTTGAACCAAATATGACTAGGTATTGTACTCATATAAAATGTTTGGCCAAGGAATAATTCTCGTTGACTTCAGGGCAAAAAAACCAAATTTATGACGACAATATAGCATGAATAGTACTTGTATCTAGCATTTTTTGGGAAATCTTTGACCATGGATACAATATAAGTCATTTCCTATTTAAATATTTTTATACGAGTGCAATACCTGGTCATGTTTGATTCCATAAAAAGTTCCGGGATTTTTTGACTTTTTTTGAATTACTAAATTATTTTTGAATATAAGGGGCGTAGCACCCGAGAGCTCCTATGCATTTTCGGTATAAAGGCTGTTAATATCAATATAACGAGTCTGACTTTATATGTTGTGACTCAGTACGCAACACGTCATGGAGGCTACTCGGAGTCTCTCTTCCACTCATAGGAGCTCGAGTGAACAGTACAATAAAAAAAAGACATTCAAAAAAAATTGATGATAAACTTTGACAAGTGTTTTCAATACTCGTTTTCATCATGAAATCACATTCGTGGAGTAAAGTTATTTTTTGGAGTGCTGACTTTGTTTTCTGTTTTGCCACGACTTTCACAAATGTTTTTTTCTATCATTCTATGATGAAACTTTACAAACAAATTAAACATTTATCAATTTTTGCCATGGAAAAATTCTAAAAAAATCTCAATTCTTTAGCATTTTACTGTTCACCTGAGCACATATGAGGTCGAGCTCATTTAATCCGCGTCCTGGTACTCTACCTATTTGATCGAAAGAGGGAAAATATCAAGTCTCAGTTGAATTATTTGTAAGCCGAGGAGCCCTGTATTCTGTACAAGTGTACAGTGAGGAGCCAGGAAACGGCCGGGCTGAGATTTGACCGCATGGATCGAGCAACTCCAAAGCTTGGACCGCGCAGCGCAGTATTGGAACTCACGTGCACCGGCAACCGCGCCGGCCTTTGATGCTGCCATTATCGGGCCCAAAAGCACCTCGGCCTCCGCCCAAAAGCTCGACAGTACTCCGCGCCCGGAACCAACACCGCGTTCCTCCATTCCATCGTGCTGCTCGCGATGAGTCTCCCGACCCACACACACACTGACACACAGAGGAAGAATGCACGTCCTAGCGCGAGCAATCTGCTGGTAATCACCGGCGGCCGACCGCACGTCCTTTGTGGCCTCGCCGTCACCACGCACGCCCAACCCAAAGTCCCCAAAGGTGGCCGCTTTACCGCAGCCTTTCGACCACGACTAGCTGCTAGCCCGTACCAGGAGTAGCAGACTACCACCACCACCACCACCACCACCCCTGTTGTGTTTCCTTTGGCAGTTTTGCATCGCTTTTCACCGTGCACCGCCCCGCACTGACCTGCAGGCTAGGGAGAGCATAGACCCCACCCAAGGACCACGCACGTCTTACAAGGTCATGGCCTCGAGCCAAACCCAAACCAGACCGGACCCTCCGAGCAGACAGCATAGGAAGCGAGAAGACAGAGACGGGAGCCTCGCCGCCGACGCCGACGGGCAAGATGCAGCGCGCGTCCCTTGCGTCCGCTCTGCTGCTCTGCTCCTTCTTCGCGCAGCCGTCGCAGGCGCTCCTCGACGGCACGCGCGGCGCCGGGGCGTACATTTCTCGGGTGAGCTCACGGCTTCGCTTCAAGTGCTTTGCTAGTGCCTACTGGTAGTGTTCGTCGGTGGTGGCGGTTTCCGTGCTCTAACATTTTCTTGCTTCTTGTGGTTCGATTAACTAGCTGCTCGGCGAGGGCTACGGCGACGAGAAGGTCCCCATGTCCGTCGTGGTGCCGTCGGTGCCAGATTACTCCCCGCTGCCGGCACCGACCGCTGTCGCTGTCGCCGCGCCCGCGCCTGCGCCCACGCCAACGCCGACGCCGACGCCGGTGCCCGGCTCGGAGGACTACATGCCGAAGCTGCCGTCTGACAGGCTGAGCCCTGGGGCGCCGGCCAACGGCAATGCGGGCTCGCCCGCGCCTGCCGCGTCGGGCGACGGGGCGAGCACCGCCTTCATCAGCAGCAACCCCGCGGTGCCGCTCCCCGCCGGCGTCACCGACTCCGCCACCGTCCTGCCCATGCCCACCCCTGGACAAGAACAACGGCAGGTAGGAGTAACCGCCACTACCAATCAGCCACCACTAATGCCTGAAGCTCTCGATTTCTTTAGCTCGTAGCTTTGCTCAAGCTTGCTTTCCCCGTGCCTCCGCATCGATTGAGCTTTGTTCACCTTGCTCTGACTTCTTTTGGTTCCGCGCTTTCACAGGACATGGGGATGGGCACCCTGCTTCAGGCCAGCGCGGTGCCGCTGGTCGCTCCTCTCCTCATGGTGCTGTACTTTTGAGCTTTCTTGTTGGGGTAGTAGAGCAGTACGTAGTTCCTTTCTCTTAGGACTGATGCATCGAGTGATTAGTTGTCAGCATCTGCGCTTGTAATCAGCACACCGCGGTGCTTTCGTCTAGGCTGTTGTATGCTCTAATCATCTGTATACAGTATCACCTCTGCTTCTTGTCTCTTGTCACACATGTATCCTGTGTACGAGTAAGTCTCATGCATTGCAATTCTTACATGGAGCATTGCTTACGGAGAAAATTTGTATCATTCGGATAGGATACGTTCACGACAGTGGGACAGGGTCAATATGTCCAATGAGTGTAAATAGACAGCATCTAACAATTAATTCTTCATCAACACACAATACTTGCATATCTTTTAGGATGTGCTAGCCAAGTTTTTCCAAAAATCTGAACTGATGAAAAGGACTAGCAATGTATTTTAATAACAAAGAAGGAAACTGTTGAGTATAATGATTATGTAGAAAACATAGGATAGCATAAGATTTATTCTACCTTGCCTTGTACTTCAAGATGACCATGTACTCCTATATATATATATATATATGTCTACGTGGCTCAAGCAATACAATAAACTATTTCATCAATCCCTCTCTCTTCTTTCTAACATGGTATCAGCCTAATCTCGATCCAAACCCCAGCCGCCGCCGCTTCAGCACCGCGCAGCCCCTGGGGCGGTTGATCTCCATGATCGCCACCGGGGGCTGCGCCGTCCATACCTAGGATTCGTCCGCCGATCGTGTTGATCGGCTGCCGTAGAGAGTCTTTTTTCAGGTCGTTCGACCCGGATTTTTCTCTTGTTTTGATCGGCGTTTCTTTTTTGGTCCTTTGACCCGGATTATTCTCTCACATCGATTGTTTTGATCGGCGTTTTTTTTTTTGATTTTTCGATTTATGATTGGTTTGTGTCGCCCATCGCCTGTTGACTCTTCTCGTGCCTCTACTTCTACATCGGCATCGACTACATTTGCACGTCGTCATCCGCCTGGTCTTCGCGCAGGCCTGCATCTAGCTGGATTAGTTGCCGCACCCGCCCCACGCTGAAGACGTGTTCCTGCGCTGGTGTGGCGGCCACTCGTACGGTTCGCTGGCCGTTGTCCGGCGGCGAGTGTCCCGAGCTCAGGCCACACACGCGCCAGACGCGGACGTGGATGGCTGCACGCGCGTCGACGCGGGCGGCCGCTCGCGTTGGGCCACCAGGTCAAGCCGATGCACCACATATGGTGTCTTGGCTGATCAGTGATCGCGTTTGCGTCTCATGCGGGTGTTTGTGCTCACATACCTATTCCAGCCTTGATTTGCCTTCCTGACAGCTTCGTAGGATCTAATGAAGATCGACTTCGAGAGTACAACACACCCCTTCGATCGAGCAACGGACTGCAGCTGCGTCGTCTCTTCGGACCATAGCGTCGCTGTCACATGGTTCTTCCTACTGCTGCACCGACTTGCGCGCAATCGCTACGTCGCCCTTTGGTCCGTAGTGCCGCGGCCCGCGGTCCAACGTCGCCCTGAGGTCGTCCGTTTCAGGTCGTCTTCGGGGCTCACCGACCCTCGCGCTGCCACTGCATCGCCCCATCGGGCCGTAGCGAGCGTGGCACGCGGTCCTTGCCGCCGCTCCATGGTGCTTCCCTCTGCTGCACCGACCCGCGTGCTCTCGCTGTGTTGCCTTTTTGGCCGTTGTGTCGCAGCCCGCGGTCCACCGCCGCCCCGAGGCTGTCCGCTCCAGGCTGTTCCCGTGGCTGCACCGACCCTCGCGCTGCCGCTGCGTCACCCATCGGGCCGTAGCGAGCGTGGCACGCGGTCCGTGCCGCCGCCCTGAGGTCTTCCCCGTCGTCGCCCCGACCCGCGCGCTGCTGCTGCATCGCCCCTTCGGGCCGTAGCGACGCGGCACGCGGTCCACTTCGCCGTCCAAGCGCGTCAACTTCTACGTGGTATACGCTGCGCTGCCTTCCTAGGCGCGGGAATGCCACTGTCCATGCCGGTCTTCGTCACGCTGTCAGGTTCTTCCTCGCCTACTTCGAGCACCGCCGCTGCGTTCTTGACCTAGCCGTCGCCGCCTCCTAAGGCCGTCGCCACTCTTCTTCCCGGTCCACGACGACTACCTCGACACCGGCCACCCCGACTCGACATCGACCACGGCGTCCCTTGCACGGCTACCTCGACCACGAGTACACCACCCTATGCTCTCGGCTACGTCGACATCGGCACAAAGGGCTACCGCCTTACTTGAGCAACCTCGCCGGTTCCACTCCAGCCACGACTTTCATGATGCATCGACCATTCGACTGTGGGAGGGTGTCCATTGGCTTACATTCGGATTCTTCTCCAGTCTCACCGTCTGCGTCGCTACCGTTGTGACTGCGGGGGGATGTTGAGTATAATGGTTAATGGTTATTTAGGAAACGTATGGTAGCGTAGGATTTATTCTACCTTGCCTTATACTCCAAGATGACTATGTACTATATATATATATATATATATATATATATGTGTGTGTGTGTGTGTGTGTGTGTGTGTGTGTGTGTGTGTCCACGAGGCTCAAGCAATACAATGAACTATTCCATCAATCCCTCTCTCTCCCTTCTAACAGGAACAACACATTACACGAATGTAGGGTTGTGTGTACATGGTGCCAGAAGCAGAAAGACATAGGATGCTCGGCCCGATTAGAAGATACAACACAGCTAAATCCACCCGGCGTGACGCTAGAGAGGCAGCCCGAACCAACACGACCTCCAACATCGTGAAAAGCAAGCACTGGGGACGCCACGAGCGAGTAAGATGACTACTTCATGAAGGAGAGTGACCCATGATGGAGGTGGACAAGGTCGGGGAGGTGGTGGGGCAAAGAGAGCCGACGCAAGGGAAGCAACGACAATCGGCGACGTTGGTGAGCTGCGAACTGGAGGGTGAAATGGCCAAGAGTGAGATGCAATACTTTGTGTTGAAAAATAATGAGAAACCTCAAGAGCTTCCTGATCGACTCATGGCTCTTGTTGCAAAAATTGATAGCTTTGATTGTGACAAGATCGACGACAGATTCACCATTACCAACCACTTTATTGTTGATAAGTTGTCAACCGCTTTTTGCATCTCACTACTAGAGCATGGTTTTTCACATAAGACATGAGTATGGTTTCACAAAGATGACCCCCGATGATGTGGCGGCTATTTTCTTGCAACATGAAGAATTCATGATCAACGAGAAGAAACAAATTGCCATGCAAGGGGGAGGGCACATGCCAAGACTTGCATTAAAGGCCAATCATGTGAGAGTTATTGAATCAAGTGATGAGGAAGAAAGTGAAGAAGAAGGAGAAGAAGTTTACTCTGATGAGTGCCACTGTGCCACACATATGATCAAATGGTGATCTTTGTTAAGAGATTTAGTGAAGGTTGTTTGTCGTGGTTTTCTCACGACAGATGCCATGAAATGGCTAATCGAGTGTGGTTGGGGCCGATGGACGCCGGTGGGTTCCAGAGACGAGATTAGGCACGAGCGAGTAGAGGCACAAGATGCCCAGGTTCGGGCCCTCCAAGGGAGGTAACACCCCTAGTGAAAGATCGAGGATGTCGCCTAGAGGGGGGGGGAGGGTGAATAGGCGCTTTAAAATAATTACGGTTTAGTCTTGAACAAATGCGGAATAAACCTAGCGGTTAATTTGCTAAGCACAAAACCTAAAACAACTAGGCTCACCTATGTGCACCAACAACTTATGCTAAGCAAGATAAGCAACTATGTGATAGCAAGATATATGACAAAGAACAATATGGCTATCACAAAGTAAAGTGCATAAGTAAAGGGCTCGGGTAAGAGATAACCGAGGCACGCGAAGACGATGATGTATCCCGAAGTTCACACCCTTGCGGATGCTAATCTCCGTTTGGAGCGGTGTGGAGGCACAATGCTCTCCAAGAAGCCACTAGGGCCACCGTAATCTCCTCACACCCTCGCACAATGCAAGATGCCGTGATTCCACCAAGGGACCCTTGAGGGCGGTCACCGAACCCGTACAAATGGAAACCCTTGGGGGCGGTCACCGAACCCGTACACTTTGGCAGCCCTTGGGGGCGGTCACCGGTACCCGTCAAATTGCTCGGGGCGATCTCCACAACCTAATTGAAGACCCCGACGCTTGCCCGGAGCTTTACACCATAATGATTGAGCTCCGAACACCACCAACCGTCTAGGGCGCCCAAACACCCAAGAGGAACAAGCTCAAGGGTACCAAGAACCCAAGAGTAATAAGATTCCCAACTTGTAACTTCCACGTATCACCGTGGAGAACTCAAACCGATGCACAAATGCAATGGCAAGGGCACACAGAGTGCCCAAGTCCTTCTCTCTCAAATCCCACCAAAGCAACTAATGCTAGGGAGGAAAGTGAGAGGAAGAACAAGAAGGAGAACACCAAGAACTCCAAGATCTAGATCCAAGGGGTTCCCCTCACATAGAGGAGAAAGTGATTGGTGAAAGTGCGGATCTAGATCTCCTCTCTCTTTTCCCTCAAAAACTAGTAAGAATCCATGGAGGGATTGAGAGTTAGCAAGATCGAAGAAGGTCAACAATGGGGGAAGAACACGAGCTCAAAGGATAAAGTTCATTGGGGAAGAAGACCCCCTTTTATAGGAGTTCCCGAATCCAACCGTTATGTGCTCAGCCCGCACATGAGTGGTACTACCGCTCCACGAGCGGTACTACCGCTTAGCATGGTCAAAACACCCCAATGAGAGATAAAAACACAAGCTGAAAAATTGCCAGAGAGGTAGAGCAATATGAGCGGCACTACCGCACAAGAGCGGTACTACCGCTCCTGCTGCCGCTCCTACTACCGCTGAACCCGACACGAGAAGAGCAGGACCCAAAATCGAGGCGGTAGAAGAGCGGCACCGCAGCGGTACTATGGCTAAGAGCTCCAAGCGGTACTACCGCTTGGGCTCGCGGTACTACCGCCGGGATCAGACAAAAGCCACTCTCAAGAAACAAGAA